AAACCATCACTCATTTACTCTTCACAGCAACCTTGTGAGGTAGGCAATTCAAGAAGAAATAGGCTCAGAGAAGTTATGCAATTCACACCCAGGTTACCCAGATGGTAAGAGGTGGCGTCTATATTCAAATTCCTATCTTTTGATTAAGTCCAGTGCTCTTTCTAAAACACAGTGCTATCTGAAATAATGGTTTTAGTACATATCTCTCTCCTCTAGTAGACAGTAAGCTTTTTGCAAAATTGGCCTGTCTTGATCATGTTTGAATGTCTAGTAGTTAGCATAATGCCTTTTGCTCAATAATTGTTTGCCAATTTAGCTGGGAGTCATTTTTATTTTTTTAATTTATTTAATTTTTTTATTTTTTAAAATATATCTTTATTGATTTCAGAGAGGAAGGGAGAGGGGGAGAGAGAGAAACATCAATGATGAGAGAGTCATTGATCGGGTGCCTCCTGTACACCCCCTACGGGGACCTAGCCTGCAACCCGGGCATGTGCCCTGACTGGGAACTGACCCACGATTTCCTGGATCATAGGTTGATGCTCAACCACTGAGCCATGCTGGCTGGGCTGGGAGTCATTTTTAATAGCTGGTATCCATGCTCCGGGGCTGGCTGAAATCTCCAAGGTACAAACTGCATATGGCAGAGAGAATCCTGTCACAAACAGAATATGGAGCATCCTAGTCTCAAGGGGACAGGGAAGAAAAGATGACAAATGGTCATGAATGCCAAATGCATTCTAGACATCAGGGGGAGATGGGAACTGATCAAAAAATTGCCTTAAAATTTAGAATTTAAGAAGTCAATTCAACCTTCAAAAGCTGAAGCAGCAGGTTAAGTTGTAAGAGTTTGTTAAAGTGTTGGCATTAAGAAAGCACAACCAATGTTGACTACTCTGAAGGCATTTCATAGAGATACTGCTTATTTTTCCTTTTCCATGAGCACCTATTAACCATCTTTGAAAAGAAAATGAGAAAAAGAATGCAGTGGTTCAAAGAAGTGCTATGATTCAGGAGAAAAAATTAGGAGATCTGAGCATGTTTATAAGCAGAGGGAAAGAAGCTGAAATAAAGAAATTAAAGAAGGTGGAGGCAACTGACAAAATAAAATCCTGGAGGAAAATAAGGGAACGGGTCTAGCAAAACAGGAGAGTACCCCTTGCAAAAGAGGGATAGCCTTCCAAGACGAGGGAGGAGAAAAAGGTTGAGAAGAGTTAGAGAGCAAATCTGAGATGTAAGGTGGCCTAATGACACCTGAAAATGGAACAAGCTCACACCAGGGAGGTCTTAATTCTTGCAGTCAAGTTAAGGCAGGGTTAAACCATTAAGAGTGATGAAGGTAGGGGTAGGATGAAGGCTTCTAAAATGTACAGTTTGGAACAGCTGCTATGAGAAATGAAATAAGAATTAACAAGATGTAAATGACTGCCAAGTGGTAACGGCCTCCTTCAGATGACAGAATGAATCTGTAATGACAAGTGCAGGATCAAAACATCCCCAAATTGTTCTACACTGTATTTTTAAAATATGTAACATAAAAACAAAAGATATGTCAGACCACTGCTGGCTGGACTTGATAAGCTGATGAAATCTTTTTAAAAGCAATGTGGGAACATATAAAAGAGCTTTAAAATTCCATACCCTTTGACCTAATTCCCTTTCTAGGAATCTATCTTAAGGTAATACTCAGGAATCAAAGATGGTCATCATCAAGAGCACAGGCCCTACTCACTAAGACGTGGGTCTAAATTCTGGCTCTGCCCCGACAGCTGTGTAACTTTGCTTAACCTCTCTGAGCCTTGGTTTCCTCATCTGTGAAATGAAGATGGCAATAACTTGGTTTACAAGGTTGTTATAAGAATTAGGGATAGAACATGTAAATCAAAGTAGAAAACGGAAGTTATTCTCATAATTTATAATAATATAATAGATTCAAACACCTGGTAACTGAGTAGAGAAATTACAATATAATCTGATAATGAAACACTGTATAGTCACTAGAAGTGGGACTTTCAAAGAACTTTAAAAATATTTTAGTCCATGGAATTACTTTACTTACTCATCATCTGGAGTGAGCTGGACAGGTTCATTAGTAAACTGAGAATCAAAGTTGTCCAAACCAAATTCCCCAGAAATATTTGGTTTAAAGGGAGGTACCACCTGCTTTTGCTCCATCTAGAAAGACATATTGGATGACAGCTTAAGCCTGCATTCTTAGAAAAATTCCCCCCACGTTCTCCTCTACCCTCAGATGCTCCCCAGACTTACTAAAGTGAGTCCCTAAGGCAAGGTTCTGCACTATTCACATGATGGAAATAATTTTCAAATCTGAACAGTGATGCAGGTTTCAATCATATTTCAACCTGCTCCATTAAGTTAATATTCTAAGCTTTCACTGTTTTAAACGCTTTTCAAAAAGCATGTTAAAGAGGAGTTTTAAGTAATTTAGGCTGCAATACACTAGTTATTCAACACTCTTTCAAGGCAATAAAATTTGGCACAAGATAATAGTGAAATCTAATATAGAAAACAATCACAATTACATACCATATCCCAATCAACATTTCGGAAGAATGGGTGTCCCTGAATATCAGCAAATCCTGTTTGAGGGTGACAACCCAATCGTTCCTTTGGGTCCTATGGTGGAAAGAAATGTTTCAAAAATGGGTGAACACCATGCTTCAGAATACATCCTTTCCATGACCTGTGTTTTGTGTCTATTATATGATACCTTTATGTCTGAAATCAGAACGGTCTACTTTTCATTTCTAGAAGGTACAACACTAGATTCAAATGAGTGACAAGCTTGTGACAAGATTTCCTCATGCCTCTTTCTCCAGCTGTCATATAATTAAAGTGGAGCTAGGTCACCACTTCTTGCTAAAGAAAAATGGGAGGGAAAAGAGAGCAGAATCATTTGAGCAGCAACTAGCTATTTCTTTGCCATGGGTTACAGTGATAGTCAAAATCCGGAAACCCCAAAACTTCACGTTTGTTCTTAGCTCAATTTAGAGGCCCTATGCCCAACTCATAATTTGGATACAATAATGACACCACCTTTATCTGAATCACTGAACTAAGAAGGGGCCTGCAACTCAGCTTATTCATTACTGTGAAATGAGAATATATTCCCATTTTTCCCTCAATAAAAGACATTTTATTTTGCATATTAACACCTCACCTTCATTTTTCACTGTGTAAAAGCTTAGGTTTCCAGTTTAAATCTTTCCTCATATAAAGTACTCATTTAAAATAAGCTTCAATTTCTTATTTTACTAAAATTCATCATTATCTTATCTATTTATCTTACAAGGTATATGCACATTAACCTACCACTTATTTAAAATAAGATTTGATAGCCAAGATCACTGTAATATAAAAAGAAGTGGTCTTTGTCCCAGGTTCCTGACCCAAAGTTTCTAAAACCTTTGTAATTTCTTGACTGATAAGAGTGTCTTTTGTTATTCATAACAAGTCCCTTTCTTTTCTTTTTTTTTTTTAAAGTATATCTTTATTGATTTCAGAAAGAGGAAAGGAGAGGGAGAGAGAGAGACAGAAACATCAATGATGAGAGAGTCATTGATCGAGCCCACAACCCAGGCATGAGCCCTGAACAGGAATCGAACCCTGACCACCTGGATCCCAGGTCGACGCTCAACCGCTGAGCCACGCCTGGCCGGGCACAAGTCCCTTTCAATCATCCCTGAACTTATGCTAATAAGATGACTCTTGGTGGGCCTCTAGAGAGCTTCAGGATGGGGTCTGAATGCCAGAGGAACCAACCATGTGATTAAAGGGCTGGGACTTTTCAGCCCTATTTCCAGAGGGGCTAGAAACTGAGTGAAATCACCAAGGGCCAAAGATTTGCTCAACCATGCTTATGTAATGGAACCTCCATAAAAACCTCTATACCATGGGGGTCACAGAGGTTCTGGCTGCTAAACACATCTATGCGCCAGGAGGGTAGGCGCACCCCAGCTCCACAGAACAGAAGCTCCTGTGCTCAGGACCCTTGTGGACCTCACCCTATGTACCTCTTCATCTGGTTGTTCCGTTGCATTCTTTATAACACACCAGTGATAGTAAGTAAATGTTTTCCTGAGTGCTATGAGCTATTCTAGCAAATTATTGAACCTGAGGTGTGTGTGGGGGGGAATCCCCAACTTTATAGCCCAGTCAAATAGAAGTGTGGGTACCCAGTACTTGTGACTGGCATCTGAAGTGAGGACAGTTTTATGGAATTGAGTCCTTATGCCTGTGGAGTCTGATGCTAACTCCAGATAGATAGTGTCAGAAATAAACTGAAATGTAGGACACTCAGTTGGTGTCTGGAGAGTTGGAGAATTGGTTGTTGGTGTAGGAAAAAACCTACACATTTGGTGTTATAAATTTTATGAGTTAAAACAGTTCAGAATTATAACTTTAGATAGATCCTTAAACTCCGTAGCCTACCATCTACAACAAACTATGAAATGCATTCAGATTTGTGAAGAGCCAAGAAAATTCATTTCTTCTAAATTTTATCTAATCATAAGGTTTTTGATGAGAATTTTGTAGAGAACACTACTGCTTGAAGTGCTCAATAAGTAGAGATTCTATGAATACTAACCCCAAAAATATTGAAAATTAGAGCAGGAAGTATAATTGAGACCATTCCCAAAGATGCAATTTCCCCCTAATTGAGTACACAGTATATATCATTTACATTAACACGATATGTAATATACAGCTGGGGGTAAATTATATTGGCAAAATTTAATTTAATGTCGGTATCTAATGTCAAATTTCTCTTTGGTAAAGAGACAAATTCCAGATGTAACTGAAAAAATTACATCCTCTGATATTTTGGAATTTTATGATGCTTCAATCTCTACTTACCACTCTCATTTATATAGAGATAAACCACTAAAGATTTTTATACACAATTTATACCTTGTTGAGAAAACTCTTCAGGACACTTGCAGCTTTTACAGACAGAGAACGTGGTATACGAATTTGTTTTTCCAAAATAACTAGAAAGATAAAATAATGGTATATTTAATCTTTAAATTTTTATTCTGAGATACTTAAGGCATTATTATAGATAAATAAAACATTACATACACTACTTAATTGTCTCATGTACTTTCCCAGTCCCATTCCTCTCCTCCTTCTCAGAAACCGCCTCTAATCTAAACACTGGTTTTAATCATTTACACGCATGTTTTAATCTTTGACTACCTTATTGTGCCTTAGTTCCCTCATCTGTAAAATTGGAATAAAAATACCTGGTTGTTATGAGGTTTAAATGAGTTAATATCCTCCTCACCGGCACCGGTATTAGAGCACTTTACAAATTTTGCCAAATGTATGGGGCATGAAAGAGTAGTTCATTAATGTTTTACTGTGCATACCCCTAATCACTAGTGAGGCTGAGCATTTTTCCACATATCCCACGGCCATTTGGATTTCCTATTACATGAAATATTTATTCATATCCTATTAGGCCTTAATTATTAAATGCAGAATTTTATGGAAGTCTTTGCACCTCTTTGGGCTGTGTTGGGGGTCCCTGTGCTTATCCGCTGTGTCTGTTCTGTTCAATTCTTTGTATTCCCAATTGTGGGGCTTTTTTCCTTCACCTTTTGATGCCTCTTATCTTCTTGGTACTCTTACTTTCTCCCATATTATTCTTGAACTTATGTACTCAGCCTCAGCTTCATGTGAAAAGACTGTCCTCTCTAGCCACAGGATTCCTTCCTCCAATCTCTGTGATATACTGTCTGGAGGAAACTATGGTTTTGAGTAAGAAAAGGTAACTGGTAAATGGGGCTGAAGACAACGGAGGTAGAAAGGATGTGTAAAAAAAGTCCAAGCCTCACGTATTAAGTAGTATACTGTCCAAATTATTTTCTGCTTTCTCACTCAAAGTAATAACTTGAGCCATCCTCATTTATGCTCTAGAATACGTTATTTACAGAGAATCTCTGTAAAATACCTTGGAAGAGATAATCCTCTGTGTTTTGATCAGGGTTATCAGAGCTCCCAACAATATCGAATGGAGACCTTCCTGCCATCATCTCAAACATTAGTACTCCAAGGGCCCACCAGTCAACACTGAAACCTTCAAAAGAGAAATTTTAAAGCAATAAATTACCCAATCTGCACTCTTGAGAGTCATTAATTTGAGATTTATTTTATTACATAATGAAAACATAAACATAATGAGAAAGTAAACTCTAAATGCATTATAATCATCAAAGCAGGCATAGGGGATTACAGTAAAGCTTATTTCACTTATCAACAAGGGGACGTACCTGAGAGATAACTTTAAAAATAAAATATGAAAAATGAAACATTAAGTTTCTTTCCCCAAATAAATCTATAATTTCAGACTCAGAGCCTGTATCTAATGTTTTGTTTTGTGGATAAAATTAAATTTCATTTGAGAATAACCTTCCTGGGTCTGAAACTTGATCTTCTGCTAGCTGATTAAAGATCCTTGAAGGACCTTGGAATCAGATTATGAGCAGCTATCAGAAGTACCCATCCTTTACATATGCTGAAATGAGAGGTCCAGAACCAAAGCATTCATATGTTTTCTTAAGATAAACATATCCTCTGGTTCCTGACAAGCAGTTAATCTTCCCACCATCTTTCAGATTCCTCAGGGAAATATCCCAGGAAATCTGAACAATCTTCTAGAGGTTCATGACTCTGGAGTCACCTAGACGCAGTTTAAATCCTTACTCTGCCACTTTCCAGCTGTATGACCCTGGGGAAGTTATCTAAACTTTCTATACATTAGTTTCCCCGTCTGGAAAATGGGAATTAACAGTGCTTTACCTCATATGATTGAGAAGACTAACTTAGATAATATATGTACATTAGATAATATATGTAAACTGCTTAAAATAGTGCCTAGCACCTTTTAGTGCTTGTCACTAAAAACATGTCATTCAAATTTGTACCCCCAAATACTGCCAAAATCCACTGTCTTCAATTTCAGTTTGGGCTTTAATGTAGGTTTTAAGGGTAAAGAAAGTTTATATTAATAAGATCAGCAATGAAATACTACAGTGTACCATAATGCAATTTGTACCACACTGAACCACCCTTTTAGCACACAGCTGAGATACCACCTATTAATTTATTACCATAATCTTCTCCTCTTAAAATTTCCGGAGCAATGTAATTGGGAGTACCACAGAAAGTGCTGGTTGTATCTCCTGGCCGTAATCCTTCCTTTTATTAAAAAAAGAAGAAAAAAACAATAAGACCCAAAATTCTGTTTCCGATTCACCTCTTTTATTTCATCTATATAAGCTCAGCATCTATAGGTAATATATTAAGCTTAAATAAAATATCACTAGCACAGCTGCCTTTATTATTAAAATCATGGATTTAAATAGCTTAAAGAAAATCTGTTCTCATTAGATGTTGATAAAAAGTCAGTTCAATTAAGATGAAAACTGCATTTAAAACAATTTATATTCAAATAAAAATTTAATAGAAAAATTTAAATTATATTAGAGTAAAATGAATCATATTTTATGAAGAAAAGAAGCACTTTAAACCCCACCTCCTAATACAACCACTGCTAGCATTATGATGTTTCCCTTCTGGTTGTTCCTAAGGCATATGTTTTGGTTTTGTATTTTAATAGCTACAGGATGGAGAAAATTAAGACAAAACCTACTAGTATCTACAAAAAGAGAAACTACACAATAACAAATGGAGCAATCACCAAGAAGTTATAACAAAAAACTGTGTATGTACCTAACAACACAGCCTCAAAATACAAAGAGTAAAAATAGACAAAAGTATTATGAGAATTTCACAATCCCTGCTACGGACTGAATGTTTATGTGCCCCCAAAATTCATATGTTGAAGCCCTAATATGATAGGGGAGGTGGGGCTTTTGGGAGGTAATTAGGTGACGAGTTTAGAGCCCCCATGATGGGATTAGTGTCCTTATAAAAAGAGGAAGAGAGATAGCCCTCCCCCACCCACCTGGGAGGATACAACAGAAGACAACCATCTGCTAACCACGAAAAGTGCTTTGACCACACACGGGATCTGCAGGCACCCTGATCTTGGACTTCCTAGACTCCAGAACCATGAGAAACAAATATTTGCTTTTGAATCTACCTTGTTTTGAAGCAGCCCAAACTGATAATACAAGCCCTAATCATGATGGTGATTTTAACAGATTTATATAAAAAATGATAGAGCATTCAGACAAAAAATTAGTAAGCAGAGAAAGATTTAGACAAAAGCTAGAGTTAAAATTTTTATATATAAATTACATACCTATGGAATATCCATATATATGTTTGTGTGTGGAGAAAGGAAGGAGGGAGAGAGAGTGTGAAAGAGACTCCTTGCTTGCAAAAGAGAGATCATATGTCCTTTTTTAACTACATGTGGGATACTGACATAAAGGAATTCTCAATACATTCCAAAGAACCAATACCACTCAGATCATTCACTAGCAACAGGGAAATTAAATAAGAAATCAACAATAAAAGATAGTGTAAAAGCAAGGTGAATAATATTAAATATACAATTAAGCATCTGCTTCTTTTACTTTATAAGCATGTAACTGCCTATGCAATTACAGACGTCCTATTATTAATGATTATATAAAATTCAACTTAATATATGTACCTAGAATTTAACCATTTCCCTACTGTTAAATTATATGGTACAAAATTCCAAACAAAAAAAGGGGAGGGAGATATACACTGGAAATCAAGCCTTCTTCCCATTCCCATCGCTGACACATCCTGCTCCAGCAACCTAGAGGCAACCACCATTATAAGGTTGTTTATGTGTCCCTCCAGAGATATTTTAGGCATGGTGTATTTTTCTATAAATTTTATTCTACCATATATAACACTTCTATAAACATCGGGAAGAAATATTTAGTAGTATGTTATGACTCTGAGGGTTATTTTGTGATTCCTCCTGGGAATATGTAAGCTATTCTGTACACGAGGAAATATTACTGTGACTTAAGTTGTTTTGTACTATTGGCTATGGCTTGACATATAGTTTAATGATGAATGACATACACTTTCAGGGCAAAAGTCAGAGGCAAGGGATGAAGTCTGTTAACCTGTAATAGAGCTATGCTAAACTACTCACTTGTTGACTGAATATCTAAATGTAGGCCCATCAGCTAAATGATCTACACTGTAACAGAGATGTTATTAAAATTCCCCTGCTGATAAATAAAGGCACATTAATTCATAAAATTGTCAAAGTTTTTCAGTCCATAAAAATCAATGTTCATAAAGTTTCAAACATAAGCCTGAAGATAGTAATTCAAGTTCTCATATGCCTCTAGTCATCAGTATCCTAAGCACTCATTATATAAAAATAGCATCTAGTGAGAAAGTAAAGAAATTAATTAAACTTAAAGGAAGTATTTCTGGAGAAATTACGTAAAATTTTTTTTAGTATTTTAGATTTCCCAAGGAATTGTTAAAAGGAAAATTGTTTCTGTAGAAAGAAAATTGTTATATTTGCCAGAGGTCAGACTTTAAGTAAGTTTAAATACTGCCTAAGTCATAAGACAAGAACATTCTATTTCCCTGGGATTCATTTCACATAAGCTTTAACATCACAAGGGTATAATCGTGTTAGAGAGAGAAGAGACAAAGTACTGTTAGTAAAGTCTTTGAAGAGAAGTTCCAATCCTGGCATCTTTTCCTACTCATAAAACTAAGCAGCTCCTGAAAAAGGAGGAAAGGTGAAAAGGGAGGGAGGGAGGAGAACGAATTTAAAGCCATACTGAGTAAAAGCTCTAAGATTTATCAGAGATCCTGATTAACTTGGTTGAGAATCTCTGGAAAGAATGAGAATGTATAATAAAACTATGATTTTTTTCATTAACAGCAACAAAAGATTAAGAAAGACAGAAAACAAAGAGAAAGACAGAGACAGAGCAAAAGAAAGCCTTAATTCACTGTTGTAAATTTCACTGTTTAAGTATTGTATGCCCATTACAATAACTTAAAAATACATAAAAGTAAACAGAATATGTAATGCTATATAGTAATACATAACAGAATACATAATAATACATCTAGAATGAGAGAATTCTATACTTTAAAACTTTACTGTTATAAGCATTTAACACAGTTATGAATTTTTGTAAGCATCTTTTTATGTGACTTCATATGCTTTGTCTTATAGTCATTCCATAATTTCCTCACTCATTCTTACCAATGGCCATTTAGGTTATATACAGTTTATCAAAAAATACTACAAAAAATACTGGTCATAAACCTATCCTCACGGACCAAAATATTTACTCAGAATATCACAGAGGCAGTATTACTAGAACAAAGTACTGTTCAGCTTTATTTTCCTTGATAAATTATGACTCCTTTATTATTGTCATTTTTCTTTTGAAATGAGAAAAAAACACTGCAAAAAAATGACACAGAGATCAAAAGGTATCATAAATCTGAGTGATGGGTACAGAGGTGTTCTCCTGCTAAATCTCTACTTGTTTATGATAAAAAAATTTTCATAATAGAAAATTAAAGGAAATAAAAATTTAACAAAAGAAAAAGCAAGTGTCAAATTTAAAAAAAGGCAAGTGTCTGAGTTTTGTACATAAAAGCAAGAATCCTTTAAGTGAAATTTTTCTTTTCTAATGTTGCTTAACAGATAAGGTTAAATCTGCAGACCTATTAGACCATCTTACTTAATGTTAGCGTTTGAATAATCTCCAGCTCTGGAGGCACTTCCCTCAGGTGAACAGGGGAATGCAATTCACACATTTATAGCCTTCTTGCCTTATTGCTGTGTGAGAGCAACGCTGTCCCAGCTACTGTAACAAGGAGAATAGCTCCCTACATGTTTTGTGGAAAAAGACTGAACCCTTAAACAAAGCACTGTTACAAAAAGATTAAAACACCAAGAAATAAAGAACATATCCTGAGAATAACTGAACTTATTTTTTTCTATTGTACTTTATGTCAGATATTTAAAATTTAAATATAAAAGAGCTAGATTTCCTAGGAAAATCTTTAATGCATTATTAAGAGTTACAATTAAATGGCAAAAACTGGAAGGAGATATGCAAGTAGCTGTGTTAAAGTTGAGGGACTATAATTTTTATTTTCAAATTTTTAATAGTATCACAACTTTCCAAAAAAAAAGTTAGAGCATAAATAGAAATTAACTCACCATAGGACAAATAACACTCACAGGAAACAAGAAATTTTGTAAATGGCTAGAAAATAAGTACAGGGTGGGGCAAAAGTAGGTTTACAGTTGTGAGTATGCAAAACAGAGTTTATTCTTTTATTATTTATTATGTATTATTTTCCACAAGAACTGTATACCTATTTTTGCCCCACCCTGTATATTTGTCTTTGTGCTACAATTCCAAAAAGTATCCTAAAGAAAGTAACAATAATTTCCCCATCTTTAAATATGAAGTTATTTTACCAAAACAATGTTATGAGCAGCTGAGACCTTTCGAGTAACTAGAGGTTTCCCTCACCTTACACATGCCGTAGTCAGTGAGTTTAATGTGTCCTTCTGAGTCCAGCAATACATTGTCCAGTTTCAAATCTCTATAAATTATCCCTCGTTCATGAAGATAATTTAATGCCAGACTGATTTCTGCAGAGTAAAATCTAAAATAAAATGAAAAATAACTCATTTGATTCAAGTTTTTAAATTGTGGCAAGTTTCTAGAGGAAGGTATTTAAGTCCTACTCCCGTCTACAAATTAAAACATCAAAATCATGTCAAAAGGTTTTTTTTCTCCCAGTGTTTTCAGCAACAATACCAAACTCAAATTGAAGTACCACTTTAAAATATCTGAACCCAAAACACAATTATCAAAGATCCAGTATAAATTAAACTCACATTTTCCTGAAATTATTAACTTGAAAGTCTCAAACAGGAGTTCTTAATCTGGATGGACTCCAGGCAGTCCACAGTCCACACTCATACAACTGGGAGTAAGGCTGTATGCACCTGTGTGCATATAGACCTTCTATAGAGTTGCCGTAGTTTGCATCACTTCTCTAAAGGACCAATGACCTCACAAAATGCTAAGACCCACTAATTTGTCTAGAATAGAAAGGATACTAAAAGTAAACTACTCAAACCAAATCCATACCAAAATTCCTAGAAAAGTAATTGAAAGAAATTATTCTACAACCATGACATTTAATATTAAAGAAAGAAGTTTTAAAACTGCCACTAACTCATTGGTGACAACCAGAACTTTTGACCTGAATAATGAAAATGAAACACCCAAGCTGGCTTACTGCTGCTTTGATAGATGTTACCACAGTCTTGTTTGGAAGTACAGAATATACACCTTCCAGCTACTTAATTCTATGAATAGGGAACCTGAGCCCTTATTCTATACTTCAATTACTAGAAAAGCAAAGATGGTAAAAACAAAACAAAATTGGAACTTTAACACAGTAAAACTGGACTTGTTTCCCCATATTCCACTGAGCAAACATGAGACAAATATTGGCTATGTTTACAAAATAAAGTATCATCTCTGGCTTTGCTATGAAGGGTGACCATTTGATAAAGCCTAAATAAACAATAAACATACAGTAAATTTAAAAACAAGAACAGTTTGGCCCTGAGATTAGACTGATATAATTTATACCTTCTTATGAAATTGAAGGATATTATCTCTTTTTGACAAGAAAAAAAAAAATCAATGAACTCGCAAGATTTTGACTAAATAAGTTATTTTAAAAAATCAAATCTCTAACCTTTGTTACAGACATGTACAAACTCGTATGCATCATTTTTCCATTACTCTTGTGAAGCACAAAGAATGAGAATTCCTGCCAATTATTAGTAAAAACGAACCATGGCTCTGATGAGCTAAACTTCTGATCCAAGACCATGATTCTCCCCACCTAACTCTTTCAACATAGAAACAACCTACAGTTGTGTCGAACAGTATCAAAGAAAGGGCCCTAAGTAAATATTGAATGCTCTTTGTTCTTATTCATCACCATGCATGGGATCAGAGGACCAACTCAGAAATCATAATTACAAGAATAGTCAGAAATATATAACAGTTTAAGAGGAATGGTTTTATTACTCTCAAGTATACATGAATAATCATCATCTAATGAAAAGCTGTCAGAGGACAGTTTCAGAGGCTGATGCTGAATAGACAAAATATTTGAAAACAATTGAGTTTAGCTGACTAAAGTTTTCCCCTTTATACTGTTTATATCTTTCAATTGCTTATAATTATATTATCACATATATAATATATAATGTTACATATTATGTCATATATTATAATGTAAACTAACTTTTAGCTTAGCCTCCACATGAATTAACTAGAATCAAAATAAATGATTTTTCTACTGTTTTCAACCACTGGCACATAAGAAGTCCCACAGCTGCCCCCCCAAATTCAACACAAACAATAATCAAAAAACTTGCCTGGCATGTTCTTCAGGAAGTTTTCTTTGCCGCTGCATATGAAACATCAGATCTCCTCCATTTACATACTCAATGACAAAGAACAATCTAAAACACAGGAGAGAACACATGAAGCCAAGGTCCAAGATAAGGCAGTGTAACTTTGCAGTTTTAAACACTAAAGAGACCAGTCACAACATAGAGAGCATTCTATGATCTACCCTTTACAAAAATCCCAGGAATTTGGTGGAAACAAAGGGTGGTTGGAGTAGAAAGCTGTTTAATCACAGAAGATGCAAGAAAGTTAGCCAGCATGGTAGCAATTCTGTAATCTGCTACTTCTGTAGTACCTACTGCTTGCAATCCAGACCCTCTCACTCCCACCCCAATTTTAAAGTTTGTACAATAAGTCACTTAAACTGTCGTTTAAGGTAAAGAAATTATGATTTCTCTTCCCCAGTTAAACTCTGGAAAATTTTAAATCCTAAAGCTAAAATCTTAGGGCTATTTAAAAGTTTGGATTTCTACTACTATATTACAACCTGGCTATTTTTTTTAAGCAGGTAATTTGCTCATGCTAATCAAAATAGGTATCTGATTGGAGTATGAGTGACAGGAAATCATAAGCATCATACTGTTGTGTCTGTCTCCATGACTTCCACTTCAGGAGTTAGAGTAGGAAGGGTTCTTGTTGTGTAATATACCAAAGTATGTAAAGCCCAGTAATCACTCCATTATCTTCTGACCTTACCTGCTTTCTGTCTGAAAGCAAGAATGCAGCCCAACAAGAAAAGGATGATTGGATGCCTGCTCAAAAACATGCTTCTCTGTCTGTACCCAGTCAATATCCTATTTTAAAATAGGAAAGAAATCTTTATCAAACTGAAATATCATCAAAACTGTGATATATTTATTCTTAGCAATTCAATGATCACAAATGCAATTATTAACCAACTCGGCTAAATATCAAAAGAATGGATAATTATGCAACAATTTATATACAAAGAGAAAAACACCACCAGTAAACATTTCAATATTATGAAACGGTCTAGAAAACTTTTACAAAGCTCAATCAAGTATTTTTCCTTATCATAATATGGTTTGATTTTTATTTTTTAAAAAACTAATAATCATATTTCTTTAAATATATCTTATATAGTCTCTTTGAAGCATTATTTAGAAAAGTAGACTGAAATAAGTCATGAACATTGAGGTTTTCTATGAAATGGTACGCTTAAGGCAATTTAACAGTTTTGGAGGAATAAAACATTGCGCTTACCTCGTCGTCATTGACAAGCTCTTTCTTCACAACTTTCATTGCATAAATACGGTCTGTTTTTTTTAATCGCACCAACAGTACTTTGGCATAACTTCCTCTTCCTATTACCCGGAGCAAATCAAAATCCTGAAGACCTAGACTGGACGAAGCTTTGCCACTTTCCCTGGTGTTCATTGCCTGTCAAGAACATTTATATCAAAGAGTTATATCTGGAAGTATTTTTCATAATACATTTCTAACACCTAGTTATGCCTATGATAGTTGAAAAAATATTCTCTGATTTAAGTTCTTAACAATTCATTTCTTACATCATTCCAAACAATGCAATCTAACTACTCAAGAGGTGAGGTGAATTCAAGAGTTGAGGTCAGACGGGTGGTGACAGCAGTAGAGAGGGAGAAATGTTAAAGGATGTCTTAAAAAGGAACTGGTAAGACTTTGGGGTGTAGAGGTAATGGAGATGCATGAATAAAAAATGACACTAACTTTAGTGACTGGGAGAGTGGAGGTATGGAGGTACCACTGATAGAAAAATAAAGTGTGAGCACAAGAAAAGATTGACAGAGTTATTGAGATAATAAGCTTGGTTTTTCATTTTGTAGTTAGAAGTTACAATGGGACAGCAAGATGAGTCTGCTGGAAGTCTGATATATGAAATCTGAGCTAATGAAAGGACACTTTCAGAAACAATGGAAACTACAAGTATGAGGCAGTACAGCTAATAGAAAATCTTCTTTTCTACACAACACCAAGGCTCCCTTGGAATGACAAAATCAGCCTTATAATTCATTCACAACTAGAAACTTAGGCTTCTGTTAATTTATAGAGAAGACTAAAGATAATATAGCTGCACAATTCTCAGCATACTATCAACAGATGGACTCATGAGAATTAAGTATGAATTTTCTAAAGTGTAAGAGTATCAATAAAAGCAAATACCAAACTTTGAGAAAGATAAAGAAATGAGTAAACACTACATATGTATATGTATATATATAATGAAAACTAAAAAAAAAGATTCAAAAGAAGGATCATACATGAAAATTTAAAAATAATAATCTGAGTTGATAAAAGGGAAAAATAAAGAGTGAAGAAAAACCAGATTAGGGCAGATTAAGAAAGCAGAAATGGTTAGAAGATAAGGCAATGTACACACTTTATATGGTTAACAGTAAACTATAAACGAGAGTCAAATTGGACAAAAGCACAGTACCTTCACACACTGAAAAGACCGAGTGAAGCGACAGAAGCCAGAACACAAGAACATTACCTTCAAAGGCCTAACCCCACCCGTTAACCTACAACTCTATATCCTGCAAAAATAGCCCTCAAAAAACAAGTGAAATAAAAACCTTTTCAGACAAACATAAGCTAAGGATATCCATCACTAGTCAGCTCTCACTAAAGGAAACACTGTTCTTCAAGAAGAAAGATGATCTCATATGGGAGGGGAGACATGCAGAAGGAACATAGAGAAAAAGAATAAAATGTGGGTAAACCTAAATAAGGACTGACTGCTTAAAAACACTGACAGTAATACACACACACACACACACACACACACACACACACAGAATTTTAAAATGTGACAAAAATAGCACCAAAGGCAGGAAGAGAGGGTGAGTAAATTTAAAGTGTTCTAAGGTCCTTGCATATGATGGGAAAAGTATAATTAATAATTTTTATTGCATTTAAATAAGTTAAGGATGTAAGATGCAGTCTCTAGAACAACCAGTAACGGAATAGCAAAAGGAGGTCAAACAAATGGGTTCTGGTCAGGATGGTAGAGTAAGTGCTGTGCTCACCTCCTCCCATGACCACATCAAAATTATAACTAAATTATAGAGCAATCCACCTGGAGAACTACCTGACGATGAGTTAAACAGAGCTCCTGTAACTAAGGATATAAAGAAGAGGCCACATCAAGACCTGTAGGAGGGGCAGAGACTTGAAATAGGCTGGTCCCACACCACGTGCGGTGTTTGAGAATCATGAGGGATATCCTGGCAGCAGAGGTCGCACTTAGGAGAGAGGGGTCCCAGCCCCCACACCAGCTCCCTAGCCCAGGAATGCAGCTCCAGGAAGAGTAGTCCCTACAACAGCTGGATGTGAAGACCAGCAGCAATTCTGTCACTCTTAACGTCTGTGCCTGTGCACAGACTCACTCACTCACAGGCACTCATCCTGAGCTCCAGCAAAGGGTAAGCAGCTCAAAGGCACCGGAGACATACTGGGAGAGACTGAGTTGTGTGACTTCAAGGCCAGGGTTGCCACTGAGCCCTCCCCTCACAAGCCTACAGGGGCAGGCCAGTACCAAATCTGAATGTGCATAAACCAGGCAATAACTCACCCATTCCTGGTGACTCCCTGAAACCCGGACCTACCCAATTCTGTGGGTATTCTTCCAGGTCAGAGAGAAGGCCGCTGGAAACCCAGCAGTTCTCGTAAAGGGTCCACACACAGACTCAGCTGCTCACAGGCATTCACTCTGAGCTTCCACGAAGAGCCAGCAGCTCAAAAGGCACCAGAGTCATATGAGGAGAAATGGGATTGTGTGGCTTCGGATGAGGGCCGCCATTGTCCCTCTGTTGAACCCTCCCCTCTCACAGCCTTTAGGGGCAGGTCAGAGCCAAATCTGAATCTGCAGTAACCTGGTGAACAATGCCGGCCCCACCCTGGTGACTCCCTGAGACCCGACTCCACCCAACTCGCACACTGCCCTTGGCTCCTTCAGTGGCTGTGCCTCAAACCCCACTGAGAGCTTTCTTAAAACTCCTCAAGGTCTTCAGGCCCTGGACAGGTGGTGGCTAGCTTTAGTGTGCCCTGTGCCTTTGCTGAGTGGCCTGGCGCAGGTGGTAGCCAACCTCAGGTTGCACCTTGGCCTCTTCCACAAACCTCTGGGCACCGCACATGTAGCTGCCAACCTCAGATCCCTTTGTAGCTTCTACCAGATGTCCCCGGGCTGGGCATAGGCAACAATTGACCTCCATCTGCATTGAAGGCCCTTACAAGAGGTCTCAGAGCCAACATGCCCAGTGGCTAGCCTAAGACCACAGCAGAGTACCAAGTGATTAGCTCCACAAATGGCACACACAAAGAGTAGTCTTAGCAGGCACCCGAGCCCCACTGGGGTGAATCTTGCTGTGGTTGTGGCCAGTCCTCACAGCTGGTCAGCCCGAGGGTCAGCCCCACCTACTGACAAACAAACAGTAATCAAGGCTCAATTACAACAGGAAGGCATACACAATCCACAGTCCTGGAGCACCCGGCTCAGCTGACCAGGAAGACTGTGCCACTCAGGACACCTACCGCATCAGGCCACCCTTCCAAGTTTGGAAGACATAACCCATCTACCTAATACACATAAACAAATACAGAGACATAGCCAAAACGAGGAGACAAATAAACAAGTCCCAAAAGAAAGTACAGGAAAAAACTCCAGAAAAAGTACTAAATCAAATGGAGGAAAGAAATTTACCAGGAACAGAGTTCAAAACACTGGTTATATGAATGTTCAACGAACCGAGAGGAAGAATAGATCAACTAAGTGGGAACTTCAACAACGAGATGGTAAACACAAAAAAGGGTAGGGACACGATAAAAAACTAGTCAGAAATGAAGAATTCACTAACTGAAATGAAGAATACACTAGACGAATCAACAGCAGATTAGATGACGCAGAGGAGCGAGTGGTGACTTGGAAGACAAGGTAGTGGAAAACTGCCAATTAGAGCAGTAAAAAGAAAAAAGAATTTAAAAAAATGAGGACAGTTTAAGGAATCTCTGGAACAACATCAAGCATAGCAACATTTGCATCAAAGGGGTACCAGGAGAAGAGAGAGAGCAAGGACTGAAAACCTATTTGATAAAATGATGATTGAAACTTCCTTAACCTAGTAAAGAAAATAGATACACAAGTCCAGGAAGCACAGAGAGTCCCAAACAAGAGGAACCCAAAAAGGCCCACAACAAGACACATTATAATTAAAATGCCAAAGATTAAAGACAAAGAGAAACTCTTAAAAGCAGCAAGTGAAAAGCAGTTAGTTACCTACAAGGGAGCTTCCATAACACTGTCAGCTGATTTATCAACAGAAACTTTATAGGCTAGAAGGAATTGGCACAAAATATTCAAAGTGATGAAAAACAAGGACTTACAATCGAGATTACTCTACCTAGCAAGGTTATCATTTAAAATCAAAGGAGAGATAAAGAGCTTCCTGGATAAGAAAAAGGTAAAGGAATTCATCACCACCAAACCAGAATTTCAAGAAATGTTAAAGGGACTTCTTTAAGGAGAAGAAGAAAAGAAAAAAACATAAGTATAAATAACAAAATGACAATAACTATATACCTATCAACAACCACTTTAAATGTAAATAGATTAAATACTCCAAGCAAAGGACATAGGGTGGCTGAATGGATCAGAAAACAAGACCCATACATATACTTTCTACAAGAGACCTATTTCAGATCAAAGGGCACATACAGACTGAATATACATGGATGAAAAAAGATGTTTCAGGCAAATGCAAAGAAACAAAAAGGCTAGAGTTAGCAATACTTACATCAGACAAAATAGGCTTTAAAACAAAGGCTATAACAAGAGACAAAGAAGGACAATACATAATAATAAAGGGATAAACCTAGCAAGAGGGTATAATCCTTGTAAACATTTATGCACCCAAGGTAGGAGAGCCTAAATTCATAAAGCAAATATTGATGGACATAAACGGTCAGATCAACAGTAATACAATAATTGTTGGGGATTTTAACACCTCACTGATCTTCTAGACAGAAAATCAAGAAGGAAACAGTAACCTTAAATGACATATTAGACCAGATGGATTTAATTGATATTTTAGAGCATTTCACACCAAAGCAGCAGACCACACGTTAGTCCACAAACAAGTCTCCATAAATTTAAGATGGCCAACAGACATATGAGAAGATGCTCAATGTCAGTAATCATCAAAGAAATGCAAATTATAACCACAATAAGATATCTGACACCTGTCAGAATGGCTATCATCAATAAATTAACAACCTGTATTGGTGAGGGTGTGGAGAAAAGGGAACACTTGTGCATTGTTGGTGGGAATGCAAATTGGAAAACCGTGTGGAGGTTCCTGAAAAAATTAAAAATAGAACTACCTTATGACCCAGCAATTCCACTTCTAGGTATATATGTGAAGAAATCCAAAATACTAATTCAAAAAGATGTATGTATCTCTACGTTCACTGCAGTATTATTTACAATAGCCAACATACAGAAGCAACCTAAGTGTCCATCAATAAAAGACTGGATAAAGAAATAGTAGTACACAGATACAATGGAATGTTACTCAGCCATAAAAAAGAATGAAATCTTACCATCTGCAACAGCATGGACTGACATAGAGGGTGTTATGCAAAGTGAAATAAGTCAGTCAGAGAAGGACACATACCATACAATTTCACTTATATGTACAATCTAATGAACAAACAAAACAGAAACATAGATACAGACAACAAACTGATAGATGCCAGTTGGGAATGGGGTTGGGGGATTGGGTGAAAAGGTGAAGCGATTAAGAAGTACAACTGGTAGTTACAAACAGTCATGGGAAGTACAGCATAGGCAAGCAATATCATCGGTAACATTGTAATAACTGTGTATGCTGCCAGGTGCCTACTAGACTTATCAGGGGGGTCACTTTATAAATTATATAAAGTCTAACCACTACGCTGTACACCTGAAACTAACATAAAGTAATATTGAATGTCAACTGTAATAGAAAAAATAATGGTTTACAAAAAGAATGTCAAACAAGCTAAAAGAGATGAAAAGTAATAATTAACCCAAAAGAAGGCAAGAAAAGTAACATAAAAATAGGTGATATATAGAAAACATAGTAAAATGGTGGATTTAAACACAAATCAGCAATTAGTATAAATATAATTACAAAACAATGCTGGCCATGTACTGATGATTGTTTTAACTGGGTAATAGATACAGAGGCTTTATTATACTATTTTGTTTACTTTTATTTCTGTTTGAAATTTTTCCATAATAAAAGGTGGGTTGTTTTTTTAAAAAAATACATCTTTATTGATTTCAGAGAGAGGAGAGGAGAGAGGGAGAGAGAGATAGAAACATCAATGATGAGAGAGTCATTGATTAGCTTGCCTCTTGCATGCCCCTGACTGGGGATTGAGCCCGCAACCCGGGCATGTGCCCTGACTGGGAATCGAACCCTGATCGCCTGGATCCTAGGTCAACAACACTCAATAGCTGAGCCATGCCTGGCCGGGCAAAGGTGGGTTTTTAAAGGTAACCAAGAGTAAAACATAACTTATTAAACATTAGAAAGTGAAGGGAAGAAGGGGAGGTAGTGTGAACTAAATCTTTCATGACCAGAAATAGAGTTTTAATATTAAAAAACAGGTATAAACATTATGGACACAACTAGAATGACTAATGGATTTCCTCTCAGAAGTCAAAGTGGGAGTGAAAGGTGTGAGGCATGATAAATCTGTTTTACTACAAGCTCTTTTCAAAAAATTGGTTACCATTTTAATTAAATATGTTTTGCTAAAATATTATTTTATTTTAAAAACTGATAAAATGTTTAATAGAAAAATAGTGGCTGTTAAGTGCTTAATCATTCATACTCAAACAACAATTAGCCTATAAAATAAAAGGATCTATAAGTATACTTAAACAATACCACCAACTATTCTAAATACCATTCTTAAATACATTATAATTTTTAGATTATGGTATCTTAATATGAAAATAAGTTCTTCTACCAGATTATTTCTTAATTTAAATGAAATCAGTAATTTACCTATTAGATTAAATCAGAATAAAACTCTAGAATCATTAAAAATCATTCCTGCGTTTTACCATTATGATCTAAAATCTAAGCCAATTTGTCCTATCTTGACACTGTCAAGTCTTATTAAAAAGCTAATGTACAATAAGACTAACTTTCAATAAACTAACATGAACAACTATTATTAAACATATTAATTTTTTTAAAAAAGACTAGTTAACTTACCTCCTTTTCTTCACCAACTTGGTCCAAACTCTCATGACTTGAAGGATTATATGGAATTACTAAAAACCCAATCCCAAACATAAAAAAAAGAGAAAAGTAGCATCCATTAGCTGAGTTTGACTTAAAATTTCTCTTGATTTGCTTATTCTAGTTTTTATTTCTGGTCTTCATCATTTAAAATTAAGTATCTATCCTGCTAATAACAAAGTGTATGTAAATATGAGTTAAATCCTAATCTTTAATAAGGGTAAGGAGAGCAAGAATCTTTTACCAAATATTTTTGCTATTTAAAAAAAATTTTTAAAAATATATATCTTTATTGATTTCAGAGAGAGAGGAAGGAAGAGGGAGAGAGAGAGCTGAAACATCAATGATGAGAGAGTTGTCATTGATCGGCTGCCTCCTGCACGCCCACGACTGGAGATTGAGCCAGCAACCCGGGCATGTGCCCTGACTGGGAATTGAACTGCGATCTGGGCCCTCGGTTGATGCTCAATTGCTGAGCCATGCCCAGCTAGGATATTTTTGCTATTTTAAAAATATTCTATTCTTTACAAATTAATCAATTCCTTGTATAAGGGTGACTCTATAAACCCTATTTAATTATTTTAGTATGAATGAGGCATGGAGGTAGAGGGTCTCTGGTTTTAGTGGTCTCTCACTTCTTTCATACTCAAAATGTTCCTAACTACCGCACCACATAGGTGAAGTAAAAAACTGACAAAGATTGGGCTCCAGGCTTCCATTCCTTCAAGCCCCTTGGGTAAAATAAAACAACAACAGCAGCAAAAAACCCCTACATTTCATATAACCAGTTTCTACTATGAACAAGAGATGGCATTCTGTCCTTTCAGAAAAACTGTTTGCTTTTTGCCTTTCTTGATTCATCCCCTATCAGGCTTCTCTATCCATTTAATTGCTCTTTAAATTTCCCAGATACACATATAAGGTTTTGTACCTACTTGATCATTGAACTCACATAATCTTTTTTGAATTTTGCATCTCTATATCTTTTACATACTTTCTACTTATGATAATAAAGCTTTTAATAAAAACAGGTCACTTTAACATAGTCAACATGGCCCATAAAATCAGTATGTTTTCATTGTTGGAAAAAAACTAGGTCTGTCGAACTTAAAGGGGTCTCAAAAGAATTGAATCTGTATTAGAGAAAGGAGTCACTTGTTGTAGTTTACGTAGTTGTCTTTTTAAAATGAAAAATATATGTGTTGAATATTATGACCATATTACCACCACAAAATATGGTTACCTAGCTTTTATTTGGGGAGGACAGAAATGTTTTTAAACTGGGGTGAAAGAGTCAACTAAAGAAGTCTTTGAATGATACTTTGCTGATGAACAATGGTTCATGACAGTGTCATTCTTACCTGTTTGTGCATGGTCTGGATGCATGGATGACTGATCCATGGGCATCATTGGTTCCTACAAACATTTCCAAAGAAACAGTAACTTAGTGGATTCTTTTTAAATCCCAATATCTCTATAAATTCAGAAACATTACTTTGATGAGACACAGCATATTAAAACTTAAGTTTGAAAAAATATAACTTCATAAGTGAGAATTATATTAATATTTAATTCAGTTTTAATTTTACTATATGACACCACATAATATTCCTGTAAATGAGGTAATGTCACATTTTACAGATAACAGAGGGAATACAAAACTAATTTCAGACCATCAAGTAGAAATCAAAATTAAACTGCTATATACTCTGACTTGTTTCTCTCCTATAGTACCTAATCTTTTGAGCTCCATATACTCACTTTAAGTTTCTGGCACAAAGGGTATCTAGTATTTGACTTCTTTAGCTGAGGAGCAGAGATAGATTTCAAGATGTCTATAAATCTCTTCAAATTATATGCAAAATTCTATGGGAAGGTGTCAGTGACCCAAAAATGGAAAAAAAACAAAAACAAAAAAACTTCCTAGAAACTGACTTAACCAACTAACTGCCAATAACCTCAGGATAATGCTAATTCAAACCAAAATGTTACTAACTCATTAACCTTGGACCCAGGTTTAATGAATACCTGCAAGAAAAGGTGAGCTTGAGAAGGAACCTTAATTATACTTATAATTTTAAGGCTGCCTTAAAGAGAGGCTCATGGATTTTTCAATGCATTTAGCACCCATTCTAAATATAGTGACTAACCCTGTCCCTCTTTCCTTTTCCATTTATAAACTCACATAAGTCATCCATCACCTAAGAATATGCGCACAAACATCAACAGTTACCTGGAGAAATTATGCTCACACTTTTTGGCCTTCCGTTTGTCCTTAAGATTGGATTTTCACCTCCCTAATTTGTATAAACCCACATCTAAGCTTATATGAACTAGCTAAGTAATTCTAATACCAAAGAGATACCACTAATAACCTACTTTCACAATGTTCAAAAAAGGTACTATGAATAAACATGGAATAATCATTCTAGAAGACAATTTAGAAGGATGCATCCAGATCTTTCTAAAAACACATATTCTGTAACCCAGTAATTCTACTTCTGGATCCTTAAGGAAATAATAAGAGTTATTCATCAGAAATTTCATTATGATTTTTATAGGAAAATTCAGAAAACAACTCAACTGTTCCATTGTGAAGAACAGGTTAAAAAAATTATGGTATACACATATAACAAAATATTATGTGAAAAATGATGAGGAACAGATAGCTAAATATAGAAAGATGACCAAATTATATTGTTCAGTAAGAAAAATGGGTTAGAAAAAAAGCATATGCATGATCTCACTTTTGTTAAAAAGCATGTAAAAGAACAAGACACATTCAAATATCATGTGCCTTCTCATGGAAAAATATTCCACCTTCAATGAAGTAGTCTCAAAAATAGCCCCTGAAACCCAGTATCTAATCAAACCTCTAGATCCAACTACAATATACAGAAAATAAAGAGGACGGGGAACATTTTATACATACCATGAAAAAGCAAAGGGAAAAATTATGCAGAACTTTAAATGACAATGCAATTTCCTCTACAATTAAACTGAAAGGGGTAAAAAAGAGCGAGAGGAAGAGTGAGAGTGCAACACATACACACACAGAGGGAGAGACAGAGAGCAACAGAGACAGAGAGAAAGGAATTGGTAAATTAAAAAATAGCTAAGACATTTTAATCAATTATAAATATAGACTTCATTTGGATCTGATTCATAATGAAAATGTTTTGTAAAAACAAAACATTTATGAGACAACTGAAAATCTGAACATTGCCTGGATGGATATTTGACATAAGGAATTTGGTTTTTAGTTTTCAAAGAGTCCTTATTTTTAGAGGTACGTTCTGAAATATGTCTGGGATTTGTTTCAACATAACTCAGGGTTAAATGGGTAGGGGTACAGATGAAACAAGATTGGTAATGAATGAGTAACTGTTGCAGTAGGGTGACTGGTACATGGAAGTTCATTGTATGGTTCCATCTACTCTTACCATATGTTCACATTTTTCTACATGAAAAAATTTTAAATGTTTATGCATATAAATTTGCATAGAAGAAGTTCTGGAAAGATATACACAAATGACAACTACTTTAGATGGTAGAGTTCATGGGGAATTTTTATTTAATTTTTCTTTATTCATTTGTGTTCTCTATTTTTTCTATTATGAATATGTTTTATTACATATTTAAAATAGAAAGTGAAAAAAATTTTAAATGCAAAAACTCCCCCATTAATCTGACACTTTAAATAGCAAACATGAAGACTCTGACTGTTCTGACCTGATAGGTGCTTAGTGTCGATGCTAGAATAAGGGGAGCTACAACTAATGAGTTTAACTTAAAGAAGAGAAAAAAAATCTCTTAAATGGTTCTTCCTACATCTTCCTAATTTAGAACAGAGGATTTTGAATCAGGCTAAACAGAAAAGTTAACTATATCCTACAAACAAATTTGTAATGACAGTTCCCCAATTCACAATATGTAAGCTGGACCACAAAGCATTCCTACCTACATTCTGCAATAACACTGTTGAGCTCAGATTCCTTAACCCCCCTCCCGCATTTTAGCCCTCTGGTCTAGTAGTGTTATCAAAAATGCCCTATTAAAAATAGACAACTGTGTCTTACCGGTGGCAAAGAATGTCGCCCACATTCAGTGGTGACAAGTTTATGGCACTTCTTATGAACCAGGAGTTTGCAGTTGATGCACTTATATCCCTGGCGTCCAAGTCCCCATATTCGGTCAGTACAGATGGCACAATGGGCACGCTGGAAAGGGTAATTTAATAGAACTGAGTTAACAACAACACAAAAAGGGTCATAATCATTCCCCAACAGTTTGCTCATAAAATAGTGAAAATAGTGGCTTTCTTCTCTAACTCAATTCTCTTCATTATATGTAACTTTTCCAAAGCTATGATAGTCAAGGGAAGATAAACAGAAAAGAGAACTTATTTTAAAGAGACAGTGAAATTTGTGACCACGTTGTTTTCTGTTATAAGTCTAAGAATTTTCAGTCTTCATATAATTAGGTTGAGAGTAATAAAAATAGAAAAAGTGAGTTAAACTTGAGAAACATATGGCAGAAAAAGCTGTACAAGGACTCTCAAGCAAAAATAAACCTTCCAGATTGTTCAGAGGTCGAACCATAGCCCTGCTCTTAAAGAGCAATACCTAAAGTGACTTTTCATTTCAAAGCTTTTTAATTATCAATGCTACTTGGAACAAGAATTTGGGAACCTTGGGTGGTGACTTCACATTAATGAATTCAGAACATGGCAGTAGTTTTAAAATGGAAATGGGAGTCCACAGATTTATAGTTATCAAGAACAGTTAAAAACATGAACTTCTGGAGATAAAATTTTTTCAAACCTTGGCTCTGCAACTTACTAGCTTTGTCATCTTGGGCAAGTTATTTAACTGCCCTGTACCTCAGTTTCTTCAACTATAAAATGGAAATATGTAATACCTATCTCACAAGATTGTTATAAGGATTGAATGAATTAATATATGTCAAGCATTTGGAAGTGTCTGGCACATAGAAAAAGCTAGATAAGTGTTTGCAATTATTATTTTCTAAACAGTGAAAATTAAAATTACAATATTAAATGATTTGCAAAACAAACCTTGCTTATTTTCTGGGTATCTTAAATTATATTAAAAAATCCAACTTCTTATAGCTAGGGAAACCATATAATTAATCATCAAATCAGGAACATTTTTAAGAGTGAAAGGAGCTTCTATTAAAAATTGCCTCAAGAAAACATGTGTACTGTAAAAACTGGGAATGTTAGGTAACTTTACTCCTTTAAAAGGGAATAACAAGACTACCTTTCTTTCATAATAGAGAGGAAAAAATAGATTTCTCAAATTATCAACATTCAACAAACTAAGGTTTACCCTGTTGAAACGCTTGGCTTGAAAAGTGTGGCCATTTGCACAATAAAGCTTCCTCCAGCGGCGTGCACCTCGGCGGTAGATGGATTCTAAAGAAAGTAAAAATTTAAAAAAGGAGGAAGTCTGAATAAAAATCAGTATTATAATTCAGTGATTTTTTTTTTCATGATATTGATTGCAAAAAAAAATTATATTGAAAAAAACCTGAAAGTGAAAAAAATAAAAACACATTCATCACGGGACTAATGAAAATAAAGCCCTTGGTGTATAAATGTTTCAGTGACTATTATTGCTTTTCTGTTTTTTCATTTTCCCCCAACTTAGAATTTTGAAGTTTTTAAGTTTACAGAGGAGTTGAAAGAATAAAACAATAAACTGCATCCTTCACCAAGATTTGCCAATTACTAACATTTTATTTTTCCACATTTTGCTTTCCAATTTTAGTATGTGTGCTGTCAAAGCGACACTTGCTTTCCTCTCTATTTACACATACTTTTCCTCAATCACTTAAAAGTTGCAGGTATCATAACACTTCACCCTCAAATTCCCATTACCTGAGATTAAGGACATTCCTCCTAATTCCACTTAAGCACAATACCATTACCACGTCTTAGAAAATTAACATTAACATAATATTACCTAATATACAGTTCAGATCCAAATTTCTCTATTTGCCCTCAATGTGTCATTCATAGATTTCTTTTTCTCTTGAAGACCTAACCAAGATTCAGGCATTGAGTTTGGATGCTGTACTTTTTTTGTCTCTTTAACGTATGCTAAAACATTTACTCCACCTTATTTGTTGTTTGTTTTTCATAATGTTGAGGGGTTTTTTTAAGTCTAGGCAGTTGTCTTAAGTCCTACATTCTGGATTATCTACTTCCTCATTAAAGTCAATATTAAATACTTGGCAAAAACAATACATAGGTGATTGATGTATATTTCTCACTGCATCACATCAAGAAATATACAAATGTCAGAATGTTGACTCCCACTACTGGTGTTCACTCTGTTTAAGGCAGTGATTGCTAGTTCTCTCTCTTTTTTAAAAAAATATATCTTTATTGATTTCAGAGAGAGGAAGGGAGAGGGAAAGAGAGAGAGAGAAACATCAGTGACGAGAGAGTCATTGATCAGCTGCCTCCTGCACACCCCTGACTGAGGATCGAGCCTGCAACCCAGGCATGTGCCTTGACCGGGAATCGGACCATGAGCGCCTGGATCCTAGGTTGATACTCAACCGCTGAGCCACGCCTGGCTGGGCTGCTAGTTCTCTTTATTTGTAAAGGTACATTTTCCATTTTATAAGTACTCTTACAAACATCTAAAGGACATTTTGTAACCACAAGAATATTCTCTTCCCCAACAACCTTTCATCCAATGGTTTTTATATTAATGCTTTTCCTAAGCAAACTAAGAGCATTCCCCAATTAAAATCTAGACCATCTGGGTAATTTTGGTTAAGTCAATAACTATGATATATACAGTCTATTAGTCACTAAGAAATGTTCCACAATAATAGTTAATACCGTGGAAAGATTCCGTTAGGTTTCTAAACTCATTTTAAAGCAAATGTAGCAATGGGTGTGTGCGTGTGTGTGTGTTACTATTTAAAATTAAGATAGAAAAGACCAAGTTGAAATGCTCTCAATTAGAAATTTTGAGAGTATAATATAGAACCTTAAATATAAATAATTTATTTTTAATTATTTATTCTGTTAGGAGTAACCAAAGCAGAAAGTTACTATTAGTAATATCTTAACCTAAAAGAACAGTCTACTTCAGAAACTTTCGTGAACTACAACTTGATATTTCTTAAATTTAAACATGTTAATGTTGGCTAGGAATTAAAAGAGCCAAGAGACCACATTAATGGTTATCAATTTTTCCCCATGCTCCAGTTTATTAATATTTATTATACTGTGGAAGGAGGGGGTGTCAAAATCTCCATGAGCAAATTTTAAAACGGGAAAGTGAGCATGAAATATAGTGAAAAAGTTAGAAATAATATTTTATCTGTGTGCTACATAGTCGATTTGAAAATGGGACTCTGGAGCGAAGATCTGCTACAATGGCAAGTCTTTCAAAACTTGGGCTTGGCAAAAGAGCCGCTTCTCCAACAGCTCTGTGAAGGCAGCCTACACTGGCCTTAATCCATCTGCCACCACAAGTCCAGAGAAATGTTCCTAGCTGAGTCCAAACCTAAATTTTCACTACTGCTTCCAAGTTCCACCTATTCCTTATATTTCCCCATTTTCCTATATAGTGCACGGCCACCGTTCAACTCTATATACAAACACCCATAGTTCTTTAATTTTTCCTTTTTTACCAAGTTACATGAAGAGTCCTAGAATTAAAAGTTAGAACTACTGCCATGGCCAGTGTGGCTCAGTGGTTGGAGTGTCATCCATACACCAAAAGGTAGCAGGTTTGATTTTCCAGCAGGGCACATGCTCAGGTTGCAGGCTCTATCCCTGATTGGGGCACATGTGGGAGGCAACAGATTGATGTTTCTTTCACATCAATGTTTCTCTCTCTCTCTCTCTCCTTCCCTCTCTCTAAAAATAGATAGATAAATAAACAAATAAATAGTTTGTTTTTAAAAGTTAGAACTACTTAATTCAAAACATTTACAATTCCTTCTAAAGTCATAGATATGCGCAGAATCCACAAGTGAAAATGAGTTGCCTAATATCCACAACTAATAAATTATATCATGTATCAAAAGCAATAATTTATGATCATACACAAGTTTGCATATTTAAATTACATCAGGCCAAATAGCTGCTTGACTCTTTCAAGTCATTCATGAATGGTAACCACTAGCTTAAACATTCAAAAGGAAATCGTGTAACAATTCCTAAGGATGCGTGTTGAAGTATTTAAAGGTGAAGTATTATGTCAGTTACTTACTCTCAAATGGTACAGCAAAAACATAAAAAAAAATAAAACAAGTGTGTTTCCTATGTATATACATGTATGCATATGTGTACACACATACAGATACAGAGATAAAGCAAATACAGAAAATGTTAAAAATTGGTGAATCTAGGCAAAGGATATATAGGTATCTTTGTTTTTAATGTTTCAAATTCTCCATAGGTTTGAAACTTTCTGAAATTAAAACCTGGATATGACTTAAAATTAACTTAATTTTCCTTTCAAATGCATAATAGATAACTATGTCAGTAAGTTATAACCTAAGAACTGCCTTATTTTGATCTGGCAAAGTCGAGTTTAGGCAGTTGCTAATATACTCTAAATTAGACTAAAGAATGGAAAATAAATCATACGAATTAAAAGTTCTATTTCTGATTTCCTTTCACTTGTGCCATTGTATCATAACTTAATTCGACTGTATTAAGTATATATACACTCACTATCTTCTCCTGGACAGGGCATTCCAGGACGTTCTGGTACACAAGGAAATACTGAAAAAAAAATAAACTAAAATTAATACAGCATATTTAAATCATACAAATTACATAGAATTTTGAATTCAAATATCAAAAAAAATTGTTCCAAATTTCAATCTGACCCTCTTTTGACACAACATACTTAGCATATGGTATTATTTGTTGAAAGAAATGAAAGTAACCATCCATAAATAATGCATTAGAAGCTCAAATTGCTAATTCCAGTCCCTGTTACCTCATTGATTTTTTTTGTCTTAGAGAAATCATTAACTACTATTTCCTTAAATCCTGTGGTAGTGAAAAGTTTACTATAGTGAAGAACTGAAATTAAATTACAAAAATTATACAAATATGAACATAAACCATTACAGCTTTTAAAAGATGTATATTAAACTTAGGAATAAGTTAACACCAGAAACAGTAACCAAATCCAAAAAATGTAAGTTTTATCTTAGAAACTATATATTTATAAGCAAGCTAATTTAGACCAGTTTTTACAAAGAGGTAGAATATAAAGAAATAGTATGTTTATGAATATTTAACCAACTATTTGTGGTCTGTGATGTACAAAAGGACATGTTTGATAAAGAGCAGAGTATGGGAGGCACAGTTCCTCATACATTTTTAAGAGCTGAAATATAAACTAACTTTCTAAAAACATCTGTGATGTAGTATAAAAAGTAATAAAACAAACTGTTTAATACTACTGATCAATCACTTCTTTAAACATTCATTGTAGTTTTATTAAATTATGGATTCCTTGGGAGTCACTAAGTCAAATTCTAAAGGTAGGAAAAAAGTCAAACTATTTTTCAAAAACACACTGTATAGAAAAGTATAAGAGAATTACAACAAGGTACTGAAATAATTCATTATATTTAGCAGAGATTTATATCTGTTTCAAGTTAAAGAGTTCCCTAGGTCTCCTAAAGCTCCCCAAAATGTTCCATAAAAATTGCCAATGTATTGCAATTAAGTGCAGTACATTAAGGGGCTTCTACATGAGATAAAAAATTGGAGGGAAGCATACTAGAATGGAAAGAACACAGATCTGGAATCAGAATATCTAGATTTACAACCACGGTCTATATTGTACCAGTTACAAGGTGGCTGAGTTTTGGTTTCTTTTTCTATACCACCACCCACCTCTCAGGCTTGCTGACCTTTAACACAATAATGTCTACAATAACTATGTAAATAGTTTCACTGTTAACCCTTAAACAAAAGAAAGGACATTTAAGATACCTTATCTTTAGGGACACATTATTTACATAAATTAAAAACTGTAAGGGGATGACTTAGATTCAATGAGGCTCTCCATTCTTAAGTTCTCTATTAAACTCTGCTGTGAAACACTGTTTTAATATTCAAGGAGGCATACACAAATAACAAACTTCCCAAGATTAAAAAAACGGATTTTGTCTTCTGTAGCAATTGAGAAACTACTGAATAAGGACAGTTATATAGCAATGAGCCATAGAGATTAAAAAAATGACATCAGTATTATGTTTTAAATTGGTCAAGAATATAGGTTTATTGTGTTGTTTTTTAAAAATTATTGCTCTAGAAGAATAAGAAATGACTATTTCTTTACCATGAATCAAGAGTTCAGAATCCTTGTTTAGCTCATAAAGCCTAAAGGCTTCTTCTAACTCCAACTGAGATGATACTGTACACGGGTCTCCTGCAAAATATAAAAAGTAAAGCTCACTTTTTAAATCCTCTAAATGTAATGATTAGTAAACAATTTCTGTTACATAAAATCTTGAAGAAAAAAATTACATATACATAGAGAAATATTTGATAAGAACAAATCTTTGGATACTTATTTAGATAATTCTATTCCCTAAAGCAGATAATTTAACTTCCATTTCTATTTCTATAAAATATTATGAGGTTCATTGATACCAACTTTTATAAATATAAAACAATTTAATTCTCAATAACACATATTAAAAATGTAGCAAACAGAACCTACAACTGACTACATTTAGATTGTCACTGAAATATGACTAACGGCCAAGGACAAGCTTTCTGTCACCTGTTTCTTTAAAAGAGGAAGTGAAAGTAATTCCATTGCCCCAATATGGTCTGTTAGAGGTCTCCATGTAATCACTTCGTCAAATTCTTCCTTCACCTTAGAGCCTGCTCAAGAGACTCATAGAAAGGAAGTGTGGCTAATAAAGTACCCTGGACTGAAGAGATGTCCTGTTTGAGCTTTTAAATGTAAATGTATAGTTTCAGTAAATTTACACACAGAGAAGGGGAAGGAAGAAACACCTCCCTTAGTCAACCAGCCAAAAAACTGAGTCATCCCTGGCAATCAGTGAGATGACACATCTCCCAATAGGATGGCATTCCTCAGTGAAAAAGTCATTTTGAACATAGTTGGGGCCTGAGCTGGATCCTCAACACTACCATTCTTTTGCTCGTTCCTGTGGTTACACCAAATGTTACCACACACTAGATGCCACCAACCCTGTCCAAACCCCAATCACTCTCAGCAGAGAATTTGGATGAAGTCATCTCCTGTCCTGCGATCTCAAAGAAATGAGTGTCTCTGCTCTGTTCTCTAACTTAGCCACGAATCCCTACTTCCATCTTTTCTGGGTATTACTCCACTAGCCTTCCTTAGTTGCATTTTTTATTTTGGCTTTCCTTCTACTAGCTCTTCTCAGGCAAAGGCATGTTTGAATCTCCCTCTCAAAAATCTCTCTCTCACTCAAGAAGCATCAAAAATCTCTCAAAGAGCCTGGCCAGTGTGGCTCAGTGGTTGAGCATCTACCTATGATCCAGGAGATCTTGGTTCGACTCCCGGTCAGGGCACAGGCCCAGGTTCCAGGCTCGATTCCCAGCAGGAGTGGGGGGGGGGGAAGGGG